GGTGGTGATGGTCGTAGTGGTGGTGGCAAGTGAGGTCTTTACAGGAGTGGGGTGAGTTGTAGTTAGTGCAGGGGGGTGAGTGTAGTGTTGTTGTAAGGCTTTCCAGGTGCTGACACTTACGCTCAGTGATTGGCGTTTCTGGGGTGTCAGCAGACTGCGAATGTCAGCAGGTTTTGGTCAGCTGAGTCAGTCGCTCCCCTCAAAAGCCAATATGCCAAGGTTAGTTTAATTTGCTGGTAAGACCATCTTTATAAGCCAGAACCGAATTATTGTTAGAGAAACGTACGTGTGTGTGTGTGTGTGTGTGTGTGTGTGTGTGTGTGTGTGTGCGTGCGTGTGTGTGTGTCTTACCTCAGGGTGACTAGTACTATAACAATGATTCCTGTAAAGGTTAGGCCTAAAATGGCCACAAACACTTTAAAGCGGCTGCACAGGAGTTAAAGTGACCACACACAGGAGTTAAATATAAGGTTAAAAGTGAATATACAGGTTAAGTGGCCACAGTAGGGGTTAAAGTGGCCTCACAGAGGTTAAGAGGCCACAATAGGGGTTAATTGGCCATACAGTGTAGTCCGTGTGGTTGATGTCTTAATGGTCGCTGACTCTCGTCCCTAGTTGACCTACAGCGGTAAACAGGTACAGGTCTGTGTGTTGAGGGGGGGGTGTGGTCTGTGTGTGTGGGGGAGGAAGGAAGGGGCGTGGTCTGTGTGGGGGGGAGGAGGAAGGGGGTGGTCTGTGTGTGGGGGGGAGGAGGAAGGGTTGGTCTGTGTGTGGGGGAGGAGGAAGGGGCGTGGTCTGTGTGTGTGGGGGGGGGAGGAAGGGGCGTGGTCTGTGTGTGGGGAGGAGGAAGGGGGTGGTCTGTGTGGGGGGAGGAGGAAGGGGGTGGTCTGTGTGTGGGGGGGGAGGAAGGGTGGTCTGTGTGTGGGAGGAGGGGGTGTGGGGGGGCGTGGTCTGTGTGTGAGGAGGAAGGGCGTGGTCTGTGTGTCAGGGGAGGAGGGAGGCGTGGTCTGTGTGTGTGGGGAGGAGGAAGGGGGGGTGTCTGTGTGTGGGGGGGAGGAGGAAGGGGCGTGGTCTGTGTGTGGGGGAGGAGGAAGGGGCGTGGTCTGTGTGTGTGAGGGGAGGAGGAAGGGGCGTGGTCTGTGTGTCGGGGAGGAGGAAGGGGCGTGGTCTGTGTGGGGGAGGAGGAAGGGGGGTGGTCTGTGTGGGGAGGAAGAAGGGGCGTGGTCTGTGTGTGAGGGGAGGAGGAAGGGCGTGGTCTGTGTGTGAGGGGAGGAGGAGGAGGGGAACGATCTGTGTGTGAGGGGAGGAGGAGGTGGGGTCTTGGATGAGGGGAGAAGGGAGGGGAGATGTTTGTGGGGAGGATATGGGAGTGGGGAGGGTAATCATGCGTTCAGGATCAAAACATGCGTCAGCTGTCTCGGTGTCGTGGTGCGTCCTTGCGTAAATGAGAAGAGGAGAAAGGGGTTTATGCGTCATTGCTTCATACATGCGGTGAATGGCGGAGAGGGAACCTAATGGGGCGTTTCCCAGGAGTGGAATAGAATGGTGCGTTCATGCGTCTAATAGGACGGTGTTGTGTGTAGGTAGCATGGGAAGAGTGGTGTCGGATGGAGGGTGAGTGCGTCGGATGGGATGGTAAGCTCGGTTTGGGATAAGTGAGTGCGTTGGATGGGATGGTGAGTGCGTCGGATGGATGGTGGTGCTGGATGGGATGGTGAGTGCGTCGTATGGAATGGTGAGTGCGTTGGATGGGATGGTGAGTGCGTCGTATGGAATGGTGAGTGCGTCGTATGGAATGGTGAGTGCGTCGGATGGGATGGTGAGTGCGTCGGATGGGATGGTGAGTGCGTCGAATGGGATAGTGAGCGTTGGATGGGATGGTGAGTGCGTTGTATGGAATGGTGAGTGCGTCGATGGGATAATGATGTGCGTCGGATGGGATGGTGAGCGTCGTATGGATAGTGAGTGCATTGGATGGGATGGTGAGTGCGTTGTATGGAATGGTGAGTGCGTCGCATGGGATGGTGAGTGCGTCGGATGGGATGGTGAGTGCGTCGAATGGGATAATGAGTGCGTCGATGGGATGGTAGAGTGTCGAATGGGATAATGAGGCGTCGGATGGGATGGTGAGTGCGTCGAATGGGATAGTGAGTGCGTTGATGGAGATGGTGAGTGCGTTGAATAGAATGGCGAGTGTGGAGTTCGTTACTACATCTTAGGGTTGATGGAATGATGCGTTCGTGCGTAGAATGGAGAATCGTACTTGGGTTGAATAAATGGATAGCTTACTATAGCGTTCACGATCGACCCAAACATGAACCGCTGAACCTGTATTACGTCTGTGTGTGTGTGTGTGTGTGTGTGTGTGTGTGTGTGTGTGTGTGTGTGACATGGAGAATGGTGTTTGACTTGGTGGTGCACGATAGCGAAGGTGGTAGGAATTGTAGTTGTCGTAGTGGTAGAGAGATGGATGGTAGTGGTGATAGACTAGAGGAACCAAGTAGTGATGGTGATGGTGGTGGTAGAGGCAGTGATGGTAGAGGCAGTGATGGTAGTCGAGGCAGTGGTGGTAGAGGCAGTGATGGTAGAGGCAGTGATGGTAGTCGAGGCAGTGGTGGTAGAGGAGTGATGGTAGAGGCAGATGGTAGAGGCAGTGGTGGTAGAGGCAGTGATGGTAGAGGTGATGGTAGTCGAGGCAGTGGTGGTAGAGGCAGTGATGATAGTCGAGGCAGTGGTGGTAGAGGCAGTGATGGTAGAGGCAGTGATGGCAGTCGAGGCAGTGGTGGTAGAGGCAGTGATGGTAGAGGCAGTGATGATAGTCGAGGCAGTGGTGGTAGAGGCAGTGATGGTAGAGGCAGTGATGGTAGTCGAGGCAGTGGTGGTAGAGGCAGTGATGGTAGAGGCAGTGGTGGTAGAGGCAGGATGGTAGAGGCAGTGATGGTAGAGGCAGTGATGGTAGTCGAGGCAGTGGTGGTAGAGGCAGTGATGGTAGTCGAGGTGATGGTAGAGGCAGTGATGGTAGAGGCAGTGATGGTAGAGGCAGTGATGGTAGTCGAGGCAGTGGTGGTAGAGGCAGTGATGGTAGAGGCAGTGATGGTAGAGGCAGTGATGGTAGAGGCAGTGATGGTAGAGGCAGGATAGAGGCAGTGATGGTAGAGGCAGTGGTGGTAGAGGCAGTGATGGTAGAGGCAGTGATGGTAGTCGAGGCAGTGATGGTAGAGGCAGTGATGGTAGAGGCAGTGATGGTAGAGTGGTGGTAGAGGCAGTGATGGTAGTCGAGGTGATGGTAGAGGCAGTGATGGTAGAGGCAGTGATGGTAGTCGAGCAGTGATGGTAGTCGAGGCAGTGATGGTAGAGGCAGTGATGGTAGAGGCAGTGATGGTAGAGGCAGTGATGGTAGAGGCAGTGGTGGTAGAGGCAGTGATGGTAGCGGCAGTGATGGTAGAGGCAGTGGGTAGAGGCAGTGATGGTAGTCGAGGCAGTGGTGGTAGAGGCAGTGATGGTAGTGATAGTTATCAACATCTTGACTAACAATGGCGAGGCATCACAGAGTCCATAGGCGAGTAAAATGACGGGGAGACGACATTGGGAAGGAGGTGAGGTAAGGCGAGATGGGGAGGAAGGGGAGGTGAGATAGGGAGAGAGGGGAGGTGAGATAGGGAGAGGAGGGAGGTGGGGAGGGAGGAGGTGAAGTGGGAGGAGGTGGGCGAGTAAGAGGAGACCCATGGATTTTGTCTGGGACGCCGGGGAAAGAGAGAGAGAGAGAGAGAGAGAGAGAGAGAGAGAGAGAGAGAGAGAGAGAGAGAGAGAGAGAGAGAGAGAGAGAGAGAGAGAGAGAGAGTTCTGAGAAAGAGAGAGATGTTTTGTGCTGTAAAAAAAAGAAGGATTAGAGTGTGCTGGGGGAGAGTAATGAATGACAGACGAAATGAATGAATGAAACAGTGAATGGCGGGGAAGAAGTTCCAGGGAGGGAGAGAAAGCGAGTTTGATGGAATGGGTGAATTTAGAAGTATGAGAGAGAGAGAGAGAGAGAGAGAGAGAGAATGAATTAGTTGTATCCCAGCAAATTGAGTTCCGGATAAGGCAAGAGAGAGAGAGTGTGTGTGTGTGTGTGTGTGTGTGTGTGTGTGTGTGTGTGTGTGTGTGTGTGTGTGTGTGTGTGTGTGTGTGTGTGTGTGTGTGTGTGTGTGTGTGTGTGTGTGTGTGTGTGTGATATGATGCGATGCAGAGAAGGAACTCACTGAGGAGGAACAGGCAGATAAGACGAAGCAAGGAAGCGATGAGAGAAGAGAAAGAGGCAAGAAGGGAAGAGAAAGTGGAGATGATGATAAAAGGAAAGGACATACAGAGAGAGAGAGAGAGAAACAATAAATGGGCAGAACGAGACGAAGAGAACAAAGCAAAGTAGAATTAGACTTCCAAAGAGGAGAGATAGACAATAAATGGAAATAATAATGGGTGGGAAGAAAAGAAGAGAGAGAGAGAGAAAGAGGGGGGGGATACATGGAGAAGAAAAGAGAGAGAGAGAGAAAGAGAGAGAGATTCGTAGAAAATTGAGAAGCGTTCAACGTTGGCAAGAAGCAGAGAGCCTGAGTTATCATGACCCAGAGAGTTGAGGAAGATTTTGTCCAACCTCGAGAAACAGCTGTTCTTTGTTTTCATAGTTATCTGCGTGGGTGGAGCCTTATTGGAAGGGGTGGAGCCATGTCGGAGAGGGTGGAGCCGTGTCAGAAGGGGTGGAGCCATGTCGGAGGGGGTGGAGCTATGTTGGAAGTGGGGGGCTGTGCCGGAGGGATGGAGTTGGCGCAGGAAGGGGCGCAGAGACAATGCCGTAGGGGTGGAGCTAAGTGTAGGAGAGGGTGGAGCTGTGTCAGAAGGTGGAGCTATGTAGGAAGGGCGGAACCATGTCAGAAGGGCGGAGCTATGTAGGAGAGGGCGAGCGTGTCAGAAGGGGTGGAGCCAAGGTTGGAGGGGTGGAGCCATGTCAAACGGGTGAAACGATGTCGGAGGTGGGTGGAGCTATGTAGGAAGGGGCGGAGCCATGTCATAAGGGGTGGAGCCACGTCGGAGGGGGTGGAACCATGTTGGAGGGGGTGGATCCAAAAGAATAAACAAGAGAGAGAGAGAGAGAGAGAGAGATATAATAGACGTGATGAAAATGGAAAGAAAGATAGAAAACAATAGAAAGAAAAAGATGAAACGTAAGAGTTATTGAAAAAATGGAAGTGATATGTGAGGAGAGAGAGAGAGAGAGAGAGAGAGAGAGAGAGAGAGAGAGAGAGAGACGGATTTAGTCAGGCGAGGGAGATGATTTGGCTTCGTGTTGTGGGAGGAGGGGTGAGGGATAGGGAAGTGAGGCGGGAAGAAGGGTGGAAAAAGGATGCGGGTAATTGGAAGAAGGAGACGAAGAAAGGGAAGAGAATAAGAGGGAAAGGGAGAGTAAAGGGAAGAAAGTGAGAAAAAAAAGAGACAAAGAAAGATAAGGGAAAGATCAAAGGGAAAGGATAGGAAAGGAAACAAAAGCGAGAGAAGAAAAGTGAGGGATGAGTGGAGGTAAGAAACGAGAGGGAAGGAAAGAAAGGGGGTAGAAATGGAAAAAGGGGGGAGGGGGTAAGGGGGGTAAAGGTCGATAGTTATGACGCAGGGAAGTAGGAAGTCAATATAGGGAACCATCCTATGGGTGAGGGAGGGAGGTGGGCTGTAGACCTACCTTCTCCCTACCCCTATCTCTCTAGCCAATCACGCTACACGGTGTTGGTGTGACGTCACGGTACCCTCCTTCTCTGGCCAATCATAGGGAATTGTGGAAACTGGAGATGACGTCACAATATCCTATATTTTTCCCCAGGAGGTTTTTTTATTGGTCTAATTCTCGATCCATATTTTCCGCTATGTAGATATATGCGATGATGACGTTACCGTTCCCCCTCTTCTCCCAGCCAATCACAGCCCACGGGAGAGGGTTACGTCACTGGAACTCACCCTTGCCAATCACATGGCAAGGGGGAGGTGACGTCACAGGACTGCTTTGTCAAGGAGGTCCCTGATTGGTGTAATTCTCGGCCAGGTTTCCGCAAATAAACGCTTGAGAGGTCGTATTAAGGGCTGAACTGGAGGGACCTCGAGCTCTCTCACATAACACAGACGTCTTAATGAGGGTTTGGCGGGACGAAAATGAGTAAGACTTTCTGTATGTAAATAGGGAGATATTCCGTAGGTAAATAGGGAGATATTCCATAGGTAAATAGGGAGATATTCCGTAGGTAAATAGGGAGAGAAAAACATTAAATAGGGAGATTTAATTCAATAGTTGCTTAGGGCTTAAAGTTTAAATTGGGTTAAGAAATTAGTCTCTTAACTTTCACATGTTGTAGTAACAGAAGGTTAATGGGTAGGTGGGTAAAGTTGGAATAGGTTTGGGGAAAGTGTCAGGAGGTAATAATAGGGTAGTGTCAGGTGTCAGGAGGTAATAATAGTGTAGCGTCAGGTGTCAGGAGGTAATAATAAGGTAGTGTCAGGTGTCAGGAGGTAATAATAGTGTAGTGTCAGGTGTCAGGGAGGTAATAATAGGGTAGTGTCAGGTGTCAGAGGTAATAATAAGGTAGTGCTTCAGGTGTCAGTGGTACATAGTGTAGTGTCAGTGTCAGGGAGGTAATAATAGGTAGTGTCAGGTGTCAGGAGGTAATAATAGTGTAAAGCTGTGGTGTCAGGGAGGTAATAGTGTAGTGTCAGGTGGGGTCAGGAGGTAATAATAAGGTGAAAAGCCAGGTGTCAGGAGGTACAATAGTGTAGTGTCAGGTGTCAGAGTGCAATAATAGTGTAGTGTCAGGTGTCAGGAGGTAATAATAGGTAGTGTCAGGTGTCAGGAGGTAATAATAGTGTAGGTGTCAGGTGTCAGGAGGTAATAATAGTGTAGTGTCAGGTGTCATTGTCATAAAGGTCAAGTGTCAGGTGATAATAAGGTGTGGAAGATGATGAAGTGTTATTTTTGAGTGTCAGGATGGTAGTAGTTGGGTGGAGAGAGGGCGATGGGGAGTGGAGGGGGTGAGATGGAAGGGGTGGATGGGAGAGTAGGATGGAAGTGGGATGGGTAAGTGAATGGGACAGGAATATAGGAATAGTGTAGGTGGGGTGGATGGGAGAGGAAGATGGGATGGGCAGATGTCTTGTTGGTTAAGAGAGGAAGATTGGAAAGGATGATGGGAAGTGGGCTGGGTGGGCGGGAGGTGGGCGGGAGGTGGGCGGTGATACAGTAGTGTGGGTGGCCAGAGAGGGAAGATATTTATTTGTTTACTTTATTGTGGGGAGACAGTAATTGTTATTTATGAGAGGGGAGAAGAGGAAGGGGGGGGGTGGCAGGAAAAAGGGAGAGAGGGGGGAGGGAAAGGGGGAGGGATGGGAGGAAGGGGAAGGAAGGGAGGAGGGGTAGGAGAGAGGAAAAGGTGGTAGGTTAGGGAGGAATATAGAAGGAAAGGAGAGGAAAGATATTAGGGAACCTGTTTGTGTGTGGCATCAGAGGCAAGTGGGTGTCGAGAAGTAGTAGTGAGGATAAGGAGTCAGTGAGGATAAGGAGTCAGTGAGGATAAGGAGTCAGTAAGAGTAAGACTGGCAGTGTCCTCGACAGGTTTCAGGACTGTGAGTATGGCAATTAGTTCTGTTTGTAGAGTGGAGACCCCAATTACTGATTCTGTCTCCTGTATTGTAATTACCATGAGGCTAGAATGGCAACGGCAGCACTTCCAGCCCTCCCACTGACAGTATTTAGAGAACCATTAGTAATTTTTTTTTTGATTCACCAGTTCCATGACCCATATTTAATACTTTTTACTGCTCAGGGGACAACCTTCGGCAAGACTCAAATATGCAACGTCAATAATGGACTACCCGACTAACGCTTAGTAGTCTGTCAATACTGTAGGTGACGCCGTCCTCACCAGGGGCAGTAGGCGGCGTTAAGCTAACCCCCACTTCAGTATTATGGAACATGACACCAAATTATCATGTTCCTGGGAGCATCATATCTGTAAGGTCGTTATTTTTTGTGGTTTTACTGACAGACACGAAGCTCCATTCACCCTCCATCATTCCTCTTTCACCTTGTAGCAGTCTTCCTTCATTCACCTTCTATCATTCTTCTTTCATTCACCTATCATTCCACCTTCATTCTCTTTCTACCATTCCTCCTTCATTCACCTTGTATCATTCCTCCTTCATTCACCTATCATTCTTCCTTCATTCTCCTTCTATCATTTCTCCTTCATTCACCTTCTACCATTCCTCCTTCATTCACCACCTATCATTCTTCTTTCATTCACCTTCTATCATTCCTCCTTCATTCACCTATCATTCCTCCTTAATTCTCTTTATATCATTCCTCCTTCATTCACCTTTTATCATTCTTCCTTCATTCGCCTTCTATCATTCTTCCTTCATTCACCTTCTATCATTCCTCCTTCATTCACCTATCATTCCTCCTTCATTCTCCTTCTATCATTCTTCCTTCATTCACCTTCTATCATTCCTCCTTCATTCGCCTTCTATCATTCTTCCTTCATTCACCTATCATTCCACCTTCATTCATTCACCTTCTACCATTCCTCTTTCACCTTCTATCATTCCTCTTTCACCTTCTATCATTCCTCTCACCTTCCATCATTCCTCTTTCACCTTCTATCATTCCTCTCACCTTCCATCATTCCTCTTTCACCTTCTATCATTCCTCTCACCTTCTATCATTCCTCTTTCACCCTCTACCATTCCTCTTTCACCTTCTACCATTCCTCTTTCACCTTCTATCATTCCTCTCACCTTCTATCATTCCTCTTTCACCCTCTATCATTCCTCTTTCACCTTCTACCATTCCTCTTTAACCTTCCATCATTCCTCTTTCACCTCACCTTCTACCATCTCTTCAATCTTCCATCATTCCGCTTTCACCTATCATTCTCCTTCATTCTCCTTCTATCATTCTTCCTTCCATTCACCTTCTATCATTCCTCCTTCATTCGCCTTCTATCATTCTTCCTTCATTCACCTTCTATCATTCCTTCATTCTCCTTCTATCATTCCTCCTTCCATTCAATCTTCTATCATTCCTTCATCATTCACCTTCTATCATTCCTCCTTCATTCACCTTCTATCATCCTTCTCATTCACCTTGTATCATTCCTCTTTCATGGTTCCTCTTTCACCTTCTATCATTCCTCCCTTCATTCATCCTTCATTCACCTATCATTCCACCTTCATTCATTCAACAAATCTTCTACCATTCCTCTTCAATCTCTATCATTCCTCTTTCATCTTCCATCATTCCCTCATTCACCTTCTTCATTCCTCTCACCTTCTTATCATTCTCTCAATCTCTACCTCATTCCTCTTTCACCCTCTCTACCATTCCTCTTTCACCTTCTATCATTCCTTCTTCAATCTTCTCTACCATTCCTCCACCTTCCATCATTCCTCTTTCACCTTCTATCATTCCTCCTCACCTTCCATATATCATTCCTCTTCTTCACCTATCATTCCTCTCATCTTCCATCATTCCTCTTCACCTTCCATCATTCCTCTTTCACCTTCTATCATTCCTTTTCACCTTCTATCATTCCTCCCACCTTCTATCATTCCTCTTCACCTTCTATCACCTTCCTCACCTTCTATCATTCCTTCTTCAATCTTCCATCATTCCGCTTTCACCTTCTACCATTCCTCTTTCACCTTCCATCATTCCTCTTTCACCTTCTACCATTCCTCTTTCACCTTCTATCATTCCTCTCACCTTCTATCATTCCTCTTTCACCTTCTACCATTCCTCTTTAACCTTCCATCATTCCTCTTTCACCTTCTGTCATTCCCCCTCCACCTTGTCTCCACTCCCTCACCTACACCTCACATGAGACAAATTTCACCTCTGCACATATATAGTCATCCTACGCTTGGCTTGGCTTGTAGTGGCTTGGTCGTATGGTAGGCAGGATTCATTGTCTGTCTGGTTGTTTGGTTGTATAGTGTG